AGCATGCCTCACTGGCGCATCAAACAGGGACATCTATTCCTTGAAAGCATCTGCACCACCCTGAGAGTGTTTTTTGACCACACTGTGGTGAGTTTGAAATTTTGGGACACTTTTCGCTTTTTCTTCTTTTACTCTCGGGTGTTGAGAAGAGACTTGGGGTGAAATGCAAGCAGGAATCATCTACTCACAGCAGGAAATCTATCTCCAATTTAAAAAGATTCTTCATCACGACGATTTTGAGTTTTCAAAGGGAGATTTGGAGGTTTTAGTACACCGGTTGTGTGAACATCATCCTGATGCTTCACAGGACTCATTTCTAAACGATGATTTTTTTGAACGAGGCTGGGAGAAAGTTGCAGAACGAAGACTTTCCAGTGATGAAATTTTATCGTTTGTTTATTTTGATTGCTGTAGGTGTTCAGCGTTCTGAACATGTTCAGGAAATGCTGAACCCCAGCCAAAAATCTCTCCTCCGTGTTTCCCTCTTCATGTCCCTATATCCCCTCCCCTGTGGCATGAAAAGTTTTCTTCTCCAAGTTTTCTCAAACTTACCGCTGCTGCACAGGATGGCAGAGACTGCATGGCGGCAGGCACGGAGTCTCCTTTTCTGTCCCTTTGCGAATCGGGTCCCTCCCCTCCTGTTTGGGACCCTGCCCCCAGGGACACCCCGCCCCCCGGTTTCCACGCCACCTCCCTCAGTTTCCACGGGACCAGCCCCAGAAGTAAGGGTGGGGGAGTTGGAGGCGCAGCCCCCAACTCGCGAATTACAGCTGCACCAATTACTTAAAACCAAAGGGAAGAAAGCCTAATTTGTAAACCCACTGTAATCACACAGTTTGGGAACCTCGGCGAAGAAGGAAAAGACTGCATCTGACAGAGCGAACGCGTTGGCCTCGGCTGCCATGGCACGGACGGCGAGTGCCGCTCCTCTCTGCAGGCACAGCTGTGCAGAACAGCTGCCGACACAGAAATCGCGCGGCCGCCCCGCTGCTGCCCCTTTCCTGACTCAGTTTCCTGATAAGCCATGCCAAGAAAACCTCACCCACCTTCCTACTTACTAGCTCCAAGATGCTTCAAAAAATCTATTCAGACCCTGGGGACTCAGGAGATGGCTTGCATTTTGAAAATTGTTTTATGAATGCTTTTGATTGTTTTTGTCATTTTGTGTTCATTCAATTGCCCCAAACATTTGATTTTAAAATCCTTAAAAGAAGCTTTCTTTAATAAGAAACCTTCATTAATAAAGAAATCGGGAGTTGTGGAGACTCAGAAAGGCATCCCTAGTTAGGGAACATGAGAGGCCTCTCTCAGCTGCCTCCTCTTGATAACAAATCCTGTTCTATCCTGTTCTATCCAAGGCAACACCTGTTCTGTTCCCTGGGTCAGCCCCGTGCCTCTGTCTCTCGGTCTTTGGTCACTCCCACCCTGTTTCTCCCACCTCGTTTCTCTGTTGGCCCTTTGCCCTAATCCCACCCTTGTGACACCCCCATGTCCCCTGGTAATTGGTCTCTGATGCTTCTTCCCCGCCCTGCTTATCCCATATACTTAACCTGGACCCTCTCAAAGGCATTTGCCTTTGTTCTTTGAACCACGGACCGTGCATGCGGTGGCTGAAATAAACCCCTGCAAAGGCCCTTTCTGCTTCTTTACCTGCTATCTATCACCCTAAGCAACAACAAGATTGCAATACCTCATCCTCCTCACTGGGGCAGGGACTGCTGGCCAGAGCACTTTGGGACACACCTGGAGTCAGCCAGGTGAGAGACAGAGCCCCTGGAACTGGGAGCCTGCCGGCATGGCAGGCAGAGAGATGGGACTTGTGTGGCCAGTCCCTGGATGTGTCCAAGGCCAAGCTGGATGGAGCTTGGAACAACCTTCCAGATTGAGAAAGGGGACAGAAAGTTGCTGCATGGCCAGGATAAGGAGGGAGGAGAGGACACCACTGAGGATATCCCACCCCAGAAGCCCATGGATCAAGCGCAGAGGAGGGGGTCAGGGTGCCCTCCTTGTCACATCTGGGGAGCCAGACAGGCAGTGGCTCTGCCAAAGGCTCTGCTTCTTCCCCAGGGCTGGAGATCCCGTAAAACAGGAAAATAACAGGCGGCATGTGTGAGTCACGGGAAGAAGCAGGCAAATTAAAAGGCTCTGGCATGCTGGTCTGGCCCTCCTGGTGCTCCCTGTGGGAATGGGGCTCACAAGACTTACATCCCACATCCCTGTTGGGTCTACCACCCTGTGTCACCCTGAGCCCACGTTGCTCCTGGCTCTCCTAAACGCTCCTCTGCTCTGAGCTCTTGCTGTGGAGGGCAGGCCTCAGGGAGAGACTGGGATGAGCGCAATAAAAGCAGAGCCCAGACCCCTATGGTTTTTAGGGTCCTGTGAAGGAATTGTTGGAGGTTGGTTCCTTTTCCCCTTTTCTCTCTGTGGAATTTTTCCCATTGTGATGCTAAGGACTTGGTGGCTATACCCCAGCACAGATGGAGGGGCAGTCAGGTAAAGGAAGTGGTGGGTAGCTGCGCTCCTTGAGCTCTCGTTCGTTTGTCTCGGGGGAGAACAGTCGCTGGAAAAATCCCGCTCTGCCACACCGACACCGGGAACTGCCTTCCTCAGCTGGGGGACCCCGCAACCCCCTGCCCAGACGCCCTCCCACTTCCACCTCCACGCATCGTGTTGGAGCACCGGGACTGACACTGCCCTGAGATCCGTGAGCAGCGTGTCTCCTCCACCCTTCCCATCCGGGACACAGCCACCATCACCCCAGCGTCCCTCCAGCCGCGTGGGATCATTGCATCTCCCCTTGCTCACCGGGAGCCGGCTGGCACTGACTGCCAGCTGTGATGGCAATTGCACCACAGGGGAAAGGTGTCCACAACCGAAAGAACTGTCACCGGCTTCCTGTTCTGTTTGTTGGTAATTTCCTAGCTGTTGTTGTTTTGTTTGCCTTGTTTATACATATATATATATATACACATCTACATATATATATATATGTATATATATATATATATATACACACACACCAGTAAAGAACTATTATTCCTACCCCAGATTCAAAAATTATAATATTTGGGGGAGGGTGGGGTTGTCTGCTCACTCCAACTCAGGGAGGAGCTCCTGCCTTTCTTTGCAAATACCTTTCAAACTAGGACAGGAATCTAAGTTTTAAATTCAATAATTGATTAAACATTCCAGGGCTGTTAATTAATGTTTGCTGAGAGGTGTCTGCGTACCTCCCAAAGAGGAGAAGGGTGATGTAGTTGCTATGTGATGTCTATGCTATGTGGGGAAGCTCTTGTCAGCACTGGTTACATGGGCTTAAAGGAGCTGGGTGCCTTTGGTGGGGGGGGGGTGTGGTTAAGAGACCTGGAAATCATGGGGTACAGTATTTCCCTTGCCTGCTCCACTCCACCTCTCTGTGATACAAAAGGCTGTGGCTGAACCATCCTCCCAGTTCCTCTCAGTCAGCTCAGGGAGTTTGGATGGGGGGGAATCTCTGCTCTGACGCAGCCATGTGTCTGCACTGGAGGCTTGCTACTGTCTGCTAATCATCTCTTTGCGCTGTTCTTGTGTGAAGAGGTCCCCAGTAGCTGGGGCTCTTGCATCAGCTCATCTTCCCACCCTAGCAGAGCTGCAGGCAGCCCAACCATCAAGAACTGTGTCCTGAAAAATTCCCCGTGTCCTGCCCTGGAGCTGTGCCCCCATGGCACCCATAGGAGCATCCGCATCCTGCTGACCCCTACGGCAGCTGGGAAAAAAGAGCAGATGGGGAAATTTGCTGGTTACCCCAAAGGCACACTGGGATATGTGACATCAATTGGAACAGGCAAATTCCTGGAGGTAGTATGAAGGCTCAAGGATCAGCAGCAAAATGCTGTTGGAGCAGGGGATGTAGCTCAGCGGAAGAGCGCTTGCTTTGCATGCAAGAGGCCCTGGGATCAACCCCCAGCATCTCCATGTCCTTTTTGTCTCCTGGACCCCTCTCTCCTGGATGCAGGGCTGCCAGGGTACCCTCAAAAGGCCCTGGGGTTGCCTTCTGGCGTGGCTGGCCTGGAAATGTCTCCTCAAGCCTGCGGGTGTGCTGGGGAAAGCACAGCCTCCACTGTACCCTGAAATCCAAACCATAGGGCTGGGGAGGCAAAAGGGGTGCAAAAGGTTGGTGTAGGAATAGGAGTCTTGCACTTTTGGGTGCAAGAGATCCTGAGTTCAGCTCCTGGGTAAACCGTCCTTTGGATACAAGTCCTCCTTTATGGGGGCAACCACTTCTTTGGATAAAGCCCTGGCTATGGAGATGACCCTTTGTTAGAACACCTCCTCCTTTGGGGACTGCATCCCTGCGGCTCTCTGCTGACCAGGTGCGGGATGATCAGCCCTTGCATCCCCGAGCACCCTGAAACTAGCATCCCGTGAGGTGGCTGCAGCACCTCTAATTCAGCTAATATGAATTTTGACACAGGAACAGGCCCCCTGCATGGCCAGGAGAATCTGCCCTCCCAAAAGCTTTAATGGCAGGGGATGTAGCTCAGTGGGAGAGCGCTTGCTTCGCATGTAAGAGGTCCTGGGTTCAATCCCCAGCATCTCCAGATTTTTGTGATTTTTTTTTTTTCCCACTTCGTCCAGGAGGCGGCGATGATAAACTCTTTTTACATGAGCCTTTCCTAAAGGAGATTCCCTGCACCATGGCTGTGCGGCCCACCCCAGCCGAAAAGGCAGCACGGATCCCACGCTCTGCCGTCTCCCACTGCCCCGACAGCCCCTTACCCGCTCAGGAGGGTACCAATCCGGACCATAGCGGGGCCGTGCCGGGCACCCCGTGTCCGATGTACAAGGCAGCGCCGCCCCACGCATACCCAGAACCCAGGACGAGAGCCCAAAAACAAGGGCTCGTCCGGGATTTGAACCCGGGACCTCTCGCACCCTAAGCGAGAATCATACCCCTAGACCAACGAGCCGCAATGTGTGTTTTCGTCGCCCCCCCTCTGACGTGATCCAGCCGACCCTGGGGCTGTGATGGTTGAGGGGTGAAGACGTTGGACTCGTGATCCATTTAGGTGTTCCTTGCACAGGATCGAATCCTGTTCTTAGCCATGGATTTTACCCATCACCCGAATGCCCACGGTGGGAGTGTTGGGGTGCGGTGCCCTCCCTGGGGTTCCCGAGAGAAGCTGATATGAGAAGGTCATTGGAAACCAGGGCAGTCCCGCTTCTCCCTCGGGAGCAGCTCAATACCCCAGGTAGGGACTGTATGCCCGCGGGGCTGTGGCACACCCAGGATTCTCCAGGTTTTGCAGACCCGGGAGGGGTGGGGAAAAAGATACCGAGGGGAGTGGCGCGGGTTGTTGGTCCAGCTCACAGAAGAGGTTTTGCACAGCACCAGCTCTCCTTCCCAGTTGCTCCTCCCAGCACTGATGTTCACCCCTAGAGGCACCCCGAGACTCATGGGGAAGGAAAACAAAGTGCTCCAGTGCTCCTGCAGCCTCGGGCCAGGGGAGGGAAAGGGCCTTGAGCGTTTCTACACAAGCTTAAGGTGCCAGGAGGCAGCACCAGGACTTTCCTAGGGAGCTCTGTCAACCCTGCATGCAGCAGAGAGGGGTCTGGGGATACAAAAGGATATGGATATGCTGGGGGTAGATTCCAGGGCCTCCTGCATGCAAAGCAAGCACTCTCCCACTAAGCTGCATCCCCTATGCAAGGGCAGGGAGATGGCCCTGGGATGCCCAAGCTGGGGTGGTTTAGGTGGTTTAGGCCCCCTTCCCAAACTCACCATCTGGAGTTGCTCCTACGTTCCTGTGCTGTGATTAAATTGCCTTAAGGGTCCAGACGTCAGAGACTTTGCCAGGGTAAACCGGCGGCTGAGCCAGTGAGGAAATCATGTGGTGACTGGATGGGAGCAGAGTGTGCAAGGAACCATGTGGGGCCTTTGTTGGATCACCTGGAGCTGCCCAATGAGGCAGCTGAGGGTCGGTGCAGGCTCCCACACTCTGGTGAGAGAACTTGTGAGAACCTCACACACCCTGTGAAGAGAACTTACTAACACCTAATATGAAGTTACAGAGTTACACATTAAGCAGCAGAGAATCTGAAAAATATAAAAGCTAAAACCCAAGGCATCACTGGGAGCAGGGAGGAGCCTCTTGCTGTGGCCGTGAGATGCCGGGTGCAGCACGTCTCACCCGCAGCAGCTCTNTTCTCCCCCAAAGCCCCTTGGCGGCCATTGGCAGCAGTTGGAATGGCCGTTGCTTTTTCTGCCACCTTTCTCGATGGAGCATGGTGCAAAGGCGATCCCCTGTGAGCAGTGTTTGTGGTGAGTATCAGCAAATGTCTGTGTGTGTGTGCCAGGGGCTGTGGAGGCATGGCATGGGGGCCGTTTGTTGTGTGTGCCTGGGGCGGCTTTGGTGTCCCTTTATGGGGGGGCTGTTTGTTGTCGGTGCATGGGATGGTGCAGTGGTGGGGCAGTAGGAGTGTGGGGCGAGTGGAGTGAGCAGTGTGGTAAGTGTGAGTTGTTGGGAGGGTTGTAAATGTTTGTAGGGGTGCGTGTGCATTGTATCCCTGTAGAGGCAGGGCCCCGTGTAGCAGCGTGTGCATGGAGTGATGTTTTAGCAAGGAGTGGGGAAATGTGTGGCGTGTCCCCAGGCAGATGGGGAGTGCAGGATAAGTATTGTAAGGTGGCTCGTTGGTCTAGGGGTATGATTCTCGCTTAGGGTGCGAGAGGTCCCGGGTTCAAATCCCGGACGAGCCCCCTTTTGGGCACCCAACGCC